CCCCAGCGGCTGCGCCTCGCCGGGAGCCGCCGCCGGCAGCGGCAACAGGTCCGTGCCCGCTCCTCCCTCCCCTCCGCCTGCCAGGCGAACAAAGGGGCTGAGCGCGGCCCCGCGCCCGCCCGGCCCCTCCGCCAGCTCGGCCCCTGCGTTTCAGCCATTTGCCTCGCCTGGCATCGCCCCGCCGCTCCCTCCCCGCCTCCCCGGCCTCCCCGCCGGCTCCCGCGCCGTGGGCGAGGCGGCGGGGCCGCTGCGCTGCAGGAGCTGCCCCGGGCGGAGCGGGGCTCGGCAGCCGCTGGAGGAAGGTAAGCGGGAAGGGGCAGAGCGGCCGCGGTACGGGAGCGGGGTCGGGGTCGGGCATGTCCCGGGGCCGGGGCTGTGCCAGACCCCCCTCCCTGCACGCCGCCGCGGAGCCTCCGGGGAGAGGATCGGTGCCGGTGACTGCCGATACCTGCGGTACAAACCGCGACGCCGAACCATGGTAGTGTGTGTGTGTGTGTGTGTGTGTGTGTGTGTGTGTGTATGTGTGAGGGGGGATGCTGGAGCACTGTCAGTTTTAATCGTGCTATTCTTTTCCCTCTGTCTCCCTTAATCCCCCTCCTCTGGGCAGCAGGGAGGCCAGACATAACCCCATATCCCTTCTCCATATGTCGCAGAGAGAGCCAACCCTAACGCTTGCGTACTTTTTTTTTTTTTTTTTTATCCTGCTGACTTATTAAGAATCTAAATGACTCTTTACACTAACGTTTAGGGATGTGTAAGAGCAGCAGATTGCTTCCCGCTATAAATTCTTCATGGCGTGCTTCCCCATCCTACTAAAAGCATACACAAGCCTTAGGTGAACACATGCATGCAGGATTTTGCAGGGTGGAAGATGCCTGAAGAAAAGTCCTACTGAATTTCAGTTGTCTGAAGCTGGTAGGTTTTTATGTCTGGTTCTTTAAAGCAACTAAAAGCCGACTCCTGAACCCAAACCTACACATAGCACAGAGAATGATAGTATTAAATCGTACAGCCAACTTTTTTCACTATCAAGAAAAAATAAAGCCCTCTAGAAGTAACATTCTGTAAAGCTTTTCCACAGCAATTAAATTGAACAATAGAAAACTAGAACAAAAAGCTAGGAAAAAAGTAGGGCAATAAAAAAATAGAATAGCAATAAACTAGAACAGTCATTCTGTATGATCTGAGAAGCAAAATAGCTCCTCCATTTTTCACAGACTTAACCATCTGTCTCCCAAAAAGGAATTAAGTGGAATGTTTGTGGGAAATAATAATTAAATTGTCACTAATATTGTCAAAACAATATTTGCTCCCCTGTTTAACTCTCTGGCCCATCATGCTTGTTCTGCATTCTCCTCTGCCCAGGGCACATCACACAGCATTTATTCACTCTTTAATTAGGACATCCAGTGTATGCCAGTGGGATCCTCTGGTCATTTGCTGTTAATGGCACTGTCTGAGGAGAACCTGCCAAAGAGCCAGGGACTGTTCCCATGCCTGCCCCAGTTCCTTTCTGCTCTCCAGGACTCACTCCTGGCAATGGTGGCACTGAAGTCAGTGGTGACAGTCTTAGGAGCTGGAGTTTGCAGGACTTAGTATCAAAAGACTCAAATCCTTACTAGCTTGCTTTCTTCTATGAATGCTGTGCTTTCATCACTTTTCAGTATAACAAATAGTCCAAAGAAGTGGACAGACTTGAAATGTCAATAAATATTAGAGCACCATTATTTGGCAGGAACATTCAATGAAAGCCATTAACTGGCTTTACTGTACTAAAGCAGGATTATAGTATTTAGGGTTGGCCTAGGTTACCATAAAGACAGTGATGCGGTTAGATGACTGGATCCAGATCCTACTTACCAGGGGTTTCGGCATCCTGTAGTATCCTGTTGCAAGAGGATATTAGGGGCAGCTGAATGCTAAAGAAGGGTATAATAAAACATGAAAGGAAATCCTGCAATTTCTTTTAACATAGAATTAAGCTCTTCTTTTTTAATACTTTTTTTTTTTTTTTTGATGAGGTCCTGTATGGATTTTGCAAGCATTTTTCTATCTCTACTGACATTGTGCAGCATTGCAGTTGGAAGCCTGTTTCTTTCTTGTCAACAGAAGGAGAGAAGTCATTTTATACCTCTTCACATCCTTGAAAATACGCATTTTAAAAATGAGCTCATTTCCATTAGCCTTCTCTGGACATGACATTTTTATGTCTGCTCTTTTATTTTTCTATGGAATTGTCATCATCTATTCTTTCTGCTTCTTTTTTGGTCTCAATGTTATTTTGTCAGAGAACAGACATGATTAGTTCCTTTCACTGAAGAATTACTTTATAGCAGTTCAGGATCTGACAGCTAGTTTAATCTGATCTATGAATGAGCTGTCCCTGAGCAGGAAGGGACCCTGCTCCTTCTCTAGCCTGGGCCGTATATTCCTGCCCAATTTTCTGTGCCAGCACTCATAACCATGTGACAATACAGTGAATGGATAGAGATTTTGCCTTCCTCCTGCAGTTAATTAAGCAAACATCCAGTTTACACATGCTGATGTTGGCATTAGGAGTGGGGCTGGTCCTGGGATCAGACCATTTAAATCTGCCTATAACTCTCTGAGGGATCAAGACCTGTATTTTCCTTAGACAGTGTTGGGAATGCTGCAGGGTTTTTTTTTTGTTCTCATCCTAAAATGCTCCTTGGATGCTAACTGGCAGTTTTGGCATTGAAAGGATTACAAGACTGGGTCAGTATTCTCTATGGGGTATTGAGTGTTATTGCAAAAAAGAGTTGGTTGGGTCCTTTGTTCTGCACTGCGCATTTGGTACTTTCCAGTTCCTTATACCCCATCAGCAAGAATGGCAGGAATTCGTGATCGGTTAAGTCAGTTTATTTAATGCAAAACAAGCTGGAGAAAAAAAATCCAGTGGTTCTGCAGATTTTGTGCCATGTGTCAGAGGGAGAAGAAAGATGTCACATAAATGCTTTTCAGGTGTGATGTTTCATGAGCTGCCATTGCTGTGCCTCTGGCTAAAACAGACGAGTTGACAGCCTTTTTTAACTCACTCGGAAACACTCCAGAAACCACAACCTTTCTATACAAATTGGCATAAGTTGGTCAAGCAGCTTCCATGCTGTTATGTTGTCTGTCACAACATGATTTGCATTAATTGAAGTTATTTTACATGTACACATTTATAGATTAGCACAAGCTGTTTGTTGTTTTTCTGGACAGATTCCTTCAGGAGTACTTAAGGAGCAGAGTAAGCTTTGCATGTGGATCTCTAACTGCTGGAAGGCTCCTGGACTTCTGAATAATTTCAGACTATCAACCTGTCAGAGTTAAATAATAGTGTGTCGTTTGGTTTTTTTCTTGGAAGCAGATCTGCTTTTCTCTCTCTCCCTCTCTTGTTAGTAGATTGCAAGAACAGGCCTTAAGATGTGGAGATAAACTATTATTTCTGCAACCCATATTTTAGAGTGTTAGTAAGAACTAAAAGCCAACCCTTTGCTATGGGAATACCATGTGAACAACAAATGTTCTGATTCCATCAAAGACAAATCTGCTCATGGGAGAGTTTTCCTCTTATCCTGTGGCTTTCTTCATTTCTCCTTTACTGCAACTCCCTGCATTACTTCACTTCAAAAAAAGCTACTGTATACATTTCTATGTACAGTTGTGGTAGATTAACCCTGGCAGGATGAACATGCCCACCAAAGCCACTCCATCACTGCCCTCAGATGGACAGGGGAGAAAAAATGAAATGAAAGTCTCGTGAGTCGAGATCAAGACAGTAAGAGATCACTCACCAGCTACTGTTACGAGCAAAACAGACTCGACGTGGGGAAATCAGAGTAGAATAATGAGAAATAAAAACGAAATCTTGAAAACAGCTTCCCTTCACCTCTCTCTTCTTTACAGGGCTTAACTTTATCCCTGATTTATTTATCTTCCTCCTCCTCCAGGGGAACAGGGAATGGGCATTTTGGTCAATTCATCACAAGTTTTATATGCTACTCCTTCCTCACAGTCTTTCTCTGCTCCAGAAAGAGATCTCTCCCATGGGAGGCGGTTCTCCATGAACTTCTCCAGTGTGAGTCCTTCCCACAGGCTTCTATTCTTCATGACCTGCTCCAGTGTGAGTCTCTCCCATTGGTTGCAGTCCTTCAGGAACAGGCTGCTCCAGGGTGGGTCCCCTGTGAGGTCACAAGTCCTTCCTGCAAGCCTGCTCCAGCGTGAGCTTCTCACAGGGTCATGGTACCCACAGCAGCCATCTGTTCCGGTGTGGAATCCTCCACAGGCTGGAGGTGGATCTCTGCTGCCCCATTAACCTGCATGAGCTGCTGGGGCACAGCTGCCTCATCATGGTCTGCAGCATAGGCTGCAGGGGAATCTCTGTTCCAGTGCCTGGGGCACCTCCTCCCTCTCCTTTGCACTGACCTTGGTGTCTGCAGAGTTGTTTCTCTCCCATATTCTCACTCCTGGCTTCTCTGGCTGCCATTTGCTCCTGCGCAGTAACTTTTTCTACTTGTTAACTATGTTACCCCAGAGATTCAGCCACCATCGCTGACCGGCCTTGGCCAGTGGTGAGTCTGTCTTGGAGCCGGCTGGCATTGGCCCCATCAGACATGGGGAAGATTCTGGCAGCTTCTCACAGAAGCCACCCCTGGAGCTCTGCCACAGCCAAAACACTACCATGCAAACCCAATACAACCATGTAAGAAATCCAGATGCTCATGAAGTTAATGGGAATTTTCCCTTGACTACAGTGGGGTTGGGATTTAAAGTGATGTTAGACTCTGGCTTTATCAAAATGCTCTGAAACTTAGGTGGAGGTTTCTAGCTGCATGCTACTAGCACAAGCCTCGTTCTCTCCAAAGCAGTACACAGATATATTTCTTGTTTAATAACAACTGATAATAGAGTCCTGAAGTTTAGTTTCCACAGCAGATGGAAAACCAGTAAATGTTATTTGAGTGTATTGCTTTGTGAGCTTCGGAGTTAGGCAGTGTCATGTGTCCCAAGAAGTTTTACACCTAGGAAAAGGGGAGCAAAGACTGTTTATGCTCATTCACATGATAAAATTCACTGGTGCTGCTGCTTGTTGTTCAGGACGAGGTCTACCACTCATTCACTGTGACAGAAGACCTTTAGACAGGGGGCAGAGTGGCAAAGATCTATTAGTTACCTCAATGCCTGGACAGTATTCCTGGCAAGATATTTTGCAGCCTTACAGGAAACAAATACTTTTATTGCACCCCCAAAATCAGGCAACTTTTCAGAGCAGTTGTTGAAGAGCCTCAGTATCTGC